GTTATTATAACAACTATAAACAATAAATATTAACAACAAATGATTTTTCAAGCATCAAGCTCTCCTTCTATCTCGACCTCCGTCTTGACAATCCGACAGCCTTGATATCCGACATAAAAGAAGGTTTTACATTTAGTGTCGGATTATCGAGTCACGACTGTAGCTGACATTTAGCAGGTCTGTCTTTGTTTATGTGTGGCGTAAAGTCTGTGTTTAAGTCTGGGGTGGCTAGCCCAGATAATAATACCAACAACAATAATAACATTAACAATAATGGTGTGCAGCAACTTTCAAAACTGGATTTACAAGGTTAAACTCGTTCACTTTAAACTGGGTTAAATTTGACATTAGAGCTTTTGGGTGTCACACCTGCAGCCAGCGAATGGAGACTGGAGACTTGTCAGTGCTCCACCACCTAGTTAGTGTTCACTAGTGCATGTGAGGGGTTTAAAGAACGTCTGTAAATTCTGATGTTCACCGATAGTCTGCATGTGAGACATTCCAGGGAACCCAGAGAACAACCTGGGCTACCATCTTCCCCTCCCTCTGAACTGCTTAAGTTTCTCCATGTAAATGGGTCACACTGTGCCACCCACCACCACCAGGAAATTCTCCACCTGTGGGAGACACTCAGATAAAATAGCCAACATTATGCATTGCATTTATTGCAAGGCGAGCAGAAGCCAAAGCGTGGCTGGAAACTCTGCTTCAGGTGTCAGAGTGTCAACATCTTAAACTGAGAAGTTTAGAAAAAGCAAGAAAGTCATCCTGTGCAAACTGAAGCTGGGGGTCATACATGATAATGATGTTTAACACCTATATGATAGCCAAACTGTTTAAGTTACAGATCATCTGTAGGAAAAGGGTCAGAACATGTGTCTGTGCCTTTATTCCTCTTAACAATCTTTTACATAATGGGTTAAGGAATGACTGTTGTGTTCAGGAGCCGACTAAAAAAAAGGTGTGGTGAAATATGTCCTGTGCACCTAAATTAGATTCTAAATGAAAAGGTCAAGCGCACCAGTGCAAACAATAAGAGGATCTGGAACCCTGTGTCTCTGAGTGCCTTTAAAACTGAATAAATGTGTTATTTGTACGTGTGTAAACCGATGAATATCATTTTTTTCTAAGTAAATCGTTTCCTTTACTCTTATTGACCATGATTAAAAAATAAACTATTCTAAGAAGCAACCATCTTCAGAAAATATCAACTTAATTCTTTTTTAAACATTGTAGTAAATGGTAAAAAATAAAAGGTTATTACTATTTTAGGAAAGTTAAATTTAATTTGCATCCCTTTTCTTTAAGCTTTTATCCAGGTGCAGTTCCCATGAGTACTTATTTACCGTCCTCTGGTTCTGGTATCAGTTTCTATCATTTCAAGGAAACATTATTTGAGTCATATTTAAATGTCCCAACATTTCAGAAACACCTCATTTTGATCTGCTTCCTATTATCAGCTAAACAAAACAACACCGGAGCAGACTTCCTCAAACCTTTCCCTCCCTCTGCAGCTCCAGAAATGCTTACAAAGGTGTTTTTTTTTCCATTCAGCATCACTGTTATAATTAATTTCTTCATCTGTCTTAATGGTGCATCATCACAACATTATTATGGAGCAGCTAATAATTCCTAAAGCTGCTTTTTCTCAACCTGCTTCCATGTTGGTTTCTCCTGCCAAAGACGTAGGTGGATTTTCCTCGAACAAAACTTTGTTCTTTGATCTTATTATCGGAGCGTTTCGATGTTTTTGAACGCTTCCTTTTCGTGAGCGATCTGTTCGGATACAAAGGGCGTCACGAGGACCGCGAGGCTTCCCCTCCCGGCTGTAACCGTCTGTCTTCACCTTTGAGCAGCGCACTCGGCGGAGCTGGCGATATCTCTCCCAAACAAAGTGCTCCGGATTGTAGATACATCCTTTGCTTGTTTAGAGGCAATTTGCTCCTTTGAAATAACTCTATAAACTTTTGCACTGAGCTCTGGAGGAGAAACAGTTTGTTTGGCGTCATTTGCAGCACCTGAAGTAACCCTGATAGTTTTCTTACAGCTGGATTTATTTTATTTTTTTATTCACTTACTGCTGCAAATGAACATTATCAACTTGTAAATTAAATTCTTATTATGTCCAGAGATATATTCCAAAGGCCTTGGTTGATGAGAGGCTGAACCTTTCACATACCTGCTGAACAATTCTACACAATAGCAGCTTTCTCACACAGCAGACAGTGAAGGAAGTTGTCCAACAGTTCATTTAGAACGCTGCTTGATTAAGCAGTCTACCTTGAGAAAAACGACCGCTAGCCACAAAATTGCCCGGCTGCTAAGAAATCAATACATTTTTTTTTTTGCTGCTTTGCTTTACAGAGCACACAATACAGCTTAACATGCCTGAAAAATGTATTTTGAGTCGATTGACAAGTGCAGTAATCCTCAGGAGGTCTTCACAAGCAAAGCTGCGTTTAAAGAAATAAAAATAAAAAAAATTGTGAAATGATCTCAGTCCATTCAGATTTTCAAATATTTAGAATAGAATGCCTTTATTGTCACTATACACATGTACAATGAGATTAAGAGCAGCTCCTTCAGTGCAACATAGAATAAAGAACGTATAGAATAAAGAGCGTGGAGTCTCCATGTTCTCCCCGTGCAGCGTGGGTTCTCTCCGGGTTCTCCAGCTTCCTCCCACACGGTCCAAAAACATGCTGAGGTTAATTGGTGATTCTAAATTGTCCGTAGGTGTGAATGTGAGTGTGCTTGGTTGTCTGTCTCTAAGTGTAGCCCTGTGATAGACTGGTGACCTGTCCAGGGTGTCCCCTGCCTTCACCCTGAGTCAGCTGGGATAGACTCCAGCCCCCCATGACCCTAGTGAGGATTAAGTAGTGTATAGATGATGGATGGATGGATGGATCTCACTCCATTCAGTTTTTCAAATATTTCTTTTCTAAATATTTTTTAAGGGGAAAAAAAAAAAACGAGACTTACACAGCATTCCTGTGATCAGAACATAACGAGATGTAAAAAATGTGTTCTGAATGTGTTTCCACGGGCGACAGTGTGCTTCCGGATATAGTTCTCGCAACCTAATTTTGGCCCCGTGCACGGCTGACATTAAATCTGACTGCGAGGACCCTTCAGGCAGAGGCAGCAGCAGCACTGTCGATCACGCTAGTTCAAGCCAATAAGACATCCAGCGTGATGTTATCCTGCTGGAGAATCAACTATATAAAAAAATAACTGCTGGGGCAAAAATGATTAACAGCAATGTAGGAGGTGGAAGCCCTCCTCATTGTTTCCAGAGCTCCTTACAACCACAAACAACTTCTAACTTGCAGCTCCGAGCTCACCCTTACTGCTCACTTCACTCAAGTGTTTTGTTTTTTTTTAAACCTGATATTATATTTGTGGAGCTTGGCCTTGCTTTACTCATTCGCAGCAAAACCAGTGACGATCGTGCCGTCAGCTTACACCTCAGCGGAGCTACTGGAGATAGTTTGGTCAGCAGCAGGCGTTCTGTTCTCACTGCTTATTCCACTCAGGGTGGCCTCGGGGTAAAATAAACCCTCGCTCACATCCAGTGATTCTACATGTGTTACTGGTGCCCCCTTTTCTCCCTCCTGCCCTCCAGAAAGTCTGTAAGCCCCTGAGCTTCATGGTAGGTTGCCATGAATGGTAACGAACGCCGGCGAGCCAACTTCATTTTCACATGACAAGTAAAGAACACATCTCATTCTGTCTGCTTGTCGGATTGAAAGCATGTAAACAAAAAGCTTTTCTTGTCCACAGCGAATTTTTTTTTAAACAAACAGCCACACAGCAGAGTAAATTAGATATGACAGTAATTCCATTTTCACATAAACATAATTTCCCTTTATTGATTGTTATGGTGCAAAGGAGAATCTGAAGTTTATGCTGTTTGCTTGAATGGTATAATTCATGTTTTTATGTTCAAAAACAACTGCTCTGTTGAAGTGCCTGCATTATTCATCAGGAAGTGTTTTGCATTTGTCAATGGGAATAAAAGAAGAACGCTTCCTAAAGGAAGTCTGTTTTTTTTTTCCTTTTCCTTTTGCTTGTTTTACCAAATTTTAACTACACTGACCACGTCATTCCGCCGAGCACATTAAATATTGAGTATGTCTATTCACATTTAGGGAGATGTGAAGCTGCAGAATCATAAATCCAAGCATGTGCGGCGAAACTTTTCCCAGGGGAGCGAGGCAGCTCCTGGATCCCTGGAGCTTCCCAGTGTCTCCTCACGCAGGAGGTGTAGTCAGTGTTTACACTAGAAAACCGATACAAGAACTGATAAGGCAGCTCCGACGATGGATTGAAAAGTACATATTTCAGCTTTTCTGGTGATGAAAACATAGAAGAATAATACAGTAAAATAAAGAAAACAGAAATCATGAAAATTCCCCAAATGTGGTGTAAAGATTGTATTTATTTTTTCCTTTTAATAACTTTTACTGGAAGATAATTATTTGATATGCATGAATATGTTTTTCATTGTGTTCCTTCCATCTACCATTCTCACAAAACTGATTTATTATTAATTTATGTATTTATTTGTTGCTCAGTTCAATCTTTAAAATGTGTTCAAGAAAGATGCCAAAGTGGGGAATAAAAGAAAAGACTAACAACTGAGTTGTCATGGCGATGCTGAGTCGATCTGTTGATCCTGACTTGTGTTACGTTTGGGAAGACACAACAAAGAAGCACCAATAACCAAAATTAATGGAGCAAGATGGACCGACTTTGGGTGAAAGTTTAGGCCAATAAAATATCCAACATGTAAGCTCATGATATCTTGTGGTTGGACTTGTCCATGTGAAGCTGCCTGGCGTTCTGTTAGGAAACTGTACTGCCTGAAATATATATAAAATCTAAAGCATCCCTGGGGATGTCATGTCATCAGGGTTTTTTTTTTTTCAGACTTGAGCCACAGAGCATCCTCTACAACCGTTTGATTAAATTTACATATTTTTCATTTTCTCTCACAGTGCCACCAAAAATCATCAACCTGTCGAAAGACATTGTGGTAAATGAAGGCTCCAACATCACCCTGTTGTGCCAAGCCAGCGGTAAACCAGAACCTTCCATCAGCTGGAAGCTCATCTCCTCTTCAGGTAACTCGCTTTTCTGTAAAGATTTACTATTTAGCTGCAGAGCAATTCGCTGCTATGTTAACGGTGCTTCGTTAAATGTATGTGCTTTCCACTTCCTCTTCCCTTCACCCCTCTGCGGTTATCACACCTATCGGTGACTTTGTTTGACCCCTGCTGGATTTCCCGCTCCAGTTGTTATCCGTCATTACCTTGTTCCAGATCATCATTACAACGTGATCATTCACAGGAAAATAAACCGGCCCTGTTGTAATTGGAATAATTAATTTGGATAATTGGATGGATGTAAATGTTTTGGAGGGAGTCTGAATGACAGGATTAATGCAGAGAACATTAGCACAGCGCTGAGCATTAACACATAAGAATAGAGTGCTGCAGCAAGCGTGTCCAGAACCAGGTTTGGTGGATTTAAAATGGCATCATTCTTTACTGAAGACTGAAGGGGAAAAAATATATACATTATTTGCTATTTATGTACCGCTGCACATGTCACCTAATCGGGCAGAATGCTTACCTTCATATGCCGGAGCTTTTGTCCTTTAATCTGTGCCGTCTATTGTTGAAGCTAGGATTTGGACTAGACCAGTGGGACTGACCCGTCTGTAACCAGATAAGCGCTGAGAGGCGACAATGATTGTATCTGTTTGTGAAACACTACGTGGCTGTGTGTGCGTTACTCTATCTACTGGAAATTAAGATTCCATAACTCAACTATGTTATTGTGCTTGTTTGCTTTAATGACAGAAGTACAGTATTTGTGAACTGCATTAGAGTTGCTGGGAGGTGGTCGGGGTGGATGGTGGGCATACAAAACACCCGAGTCTCACAGCAGCAGAGACAAGGTTTCACATCTAGACCTGGAAATATTGTGCAATTATCATTCTGTGTGCAACAACACAAATAGTAGTACTGTTACTATTACATTTATATACACTTATAACAGCAAGCATGTATATTTATTTTGTGTTATATTTTATTTTATTTTCATATTAATACTTTTGATTTTATTATGTATCTTTACTTCTTTAAGACTTTGATTGGGAGCATCTGCAACTAAAAGCAGTTTCCCCTAGGGCAGGGGTGTCCAATCCTGGTCCTCGAGGGCCACAATCCTGCACGTTTTAGATGTTTCCCTCTTCCAACACACCTGATTCAAATGATCCGGATCGTTATCAGGCTTCTGCAGAGCTTAATGATGAGCTGATCATTTGAATCAGGTGAGAGGGAAACATCTAAAACGTGCAGGATTGTGGCCCTCCAGGACCAGGATTGCCCCCTCCTGCCCTGGGGGATCAATAAAGTATTTCTGATTCTGATAACC